TTCCATGTCTTATTCAACCAGACCAGAAGCCTAAAAACATCAGACTCACGCATCCTTTTGGAGCCACAATAAGTGGAAATATATACACAATATCTATATATATAATATTGAATCATTTGGATTAGAATTTGGAAGAATTAGAAATAATTAGGAACTTTTCATGGACAAAAAGATATACATATGGAATCCACTGTATGCCCTTTCTTATTAATTTATATACATTCTTTTTTTCTACAAAGCATGAAATCTTAAGTAACAATTAAGGCCCCGTTTGGTACCCATTTTTTTTAAAATACATTTTTTTCTCTCTTCTTTTCAACCATACATTCTTCATTAAAATAATATTACACGTAAATAAAAAACTTTTCCTTATTTTTCAACCACATATTTTCCATCAATTTACTATTCCAAAATGTATTTTTACATAAAAAAAAAAAAAATGGTTACCAAACACAATTTAAATGAATGGTGGTGGTTAATTAACTAAAAATTACCAGATTTAGGTAGTTATACATCATTTTTCACTTTCTTTTCTTTGTCAATTAATTTTACCATAGAACATAAAAACATGCAAAATCTTGTGACACCAGACAAGAAAATATTTCGTTTTCTTATAATTCTCAATCTTAAATTTAGCCAGGAGGATTAAACTATGACATGTGACATGACAATTCTACCCCTCATGCATGAATTAATAATTATATTTAAAACCATTTTAAATTATCGGCTGACCTCATAAATTATGCTCTTCTTCTAGTTTCTCAGCACGGGCATTTATTGTACAGCAAAATTTAGTTTCATAAATTTAACATGAGAGGAACACTCAACTACCTAACACTATTTTGGATAGTTTTTGTTATTCAAGCTAGATTCATTGTTCAACTATAATGAGAATTTATAATGACCAATTTGACATTTAGTAAAACAAAGAGAAGAATTGTGATAACTTGCTACAAAAGCATTAGGTTGTGTTGAATCATTTAATTTAAAAGTTTAAGTTGTCAGAAATGATTGCGTTCATATCATTTAACTATAATTTTCAACACGTCCCTTCAAGTATAGTTTGAATTCATTGTTTTCCATCAAAAATTTAACACGTGCACAAATTTAATATGGTAGTTGAAAGACTTTAGCCCAAGATCTTTGCCTCGGAATCGATCCTTTTTAGATGGGAGGATCGTTGGTGCAATTTTTCCTTCAATTTCTATAACACCTGATAAAGGGCTCCCTCTCTTTATTAGAAATTATCTGTTTTCCTTTTTCTTTTCTTTTTTTTTTTTTCATTTTAAAAAATCTTGGCTCTCCATATATTAATCCACAAGTGTCCTATATTCTTTGTATATAAATAGGTACCATAATCATTCCTTATTGTCCATCAAAGTTCACATTGCTAATAATATTTCTTAAAGGTACTGTCAAATTTTCCCGACGGAGATGGCAGTTTTCTCTGGAGATTGGGTTCTTGCATTTGGTATACTTGGTAATGTCTACAATTCTTTAACCTTAATTACTTTTTTACATTTTCTTATGAAAAAGAATGATATTTAATTGTGTTCATTAATTCTTCACAGAATTGTGTTGGTCAAGATCCTCCTTGAAATGACATTCGTCACACTAGCTACTTTGTGTACTAGGAAATGGACTAATAAATTTATTGTTAATGGATTTAACAATCATCACATTCAATCATTAACATGTATGACAGAAAATGAATTACATGCAACTTCACTCAATAGTATTGAAATTTTTACTTATTGGATTATTTAGTATTTTTTGTGATAGTATATAACAACACACACATATATATTACCCAATTCAAATTTACATCCGATTATTACTTGCATAAAATGTATTACATAAATGCGTTATAATGATTTTTCCTGTGTTCTTGTAGGTAATATCATATCTTTCATGTTCTATCTTTCACCATTGTAAGTTTTAGTATTTTATTTAAGTTCTAAATGTGATTCGATTGAAAATATTTTTTGATTTTAATTTTTCAAATATTGCAGGCCTACTTTCTATCAAATTTATAAGAAAAAGTCAAGTGAAGGATTTCAATCACTTCCTTACGTAGTTGCTCTCTTCAGCTCCATGTTGTGGATATACTATGCATTTCTCAAGTCTGATAATACCACACTACTTATTACTATAAATTCTGTTGGATGTGTCATTGAAACTGCTTGCATTTGCTTCTACCTTTTCTATGCACCAAAGAAGGTAATAGTGAACTTTCTCGTCAAAAAATTTCGACGGTTGAAGAGATAACGAGTTTATATATTTAAATTATTTACTTGGATTTCTTTTGAAATGTAGATACATACTATAAAGTTAATTGTTCTGCTGATACTTTGTGGGTTTGGTCTGATCGTTTTCTCGAATCAACTTGTGGTGAAAGCTTCACACCGTGCTCATGTTGTTGGATGGATTTGTCTAGTATTTTCATTGTGTGTATTTGTCGCCCCTTTAGGCATTGTGGTAAGCATTATTATTATTATTATTTTTTTATTCATATTTCATTCCTAATTCCGGGCTATAAGTTTGAATAAATTTATTTGAAATTTTGATTTCTTTGCAGAGACAAGTTATACGAACCAAGAGCGTAGAATATATGCCATTTCTTCTATCATTTTTTCTCACAATTAGTGCTGTTACGTGGTTCTTTTATGGTCTGCTACTCAAAGACTATAACATCGCTGTAAGTTCGTAAAGACTATAACATCGCTGTAAGTTCGTACCAGCATTCCATTTTTTAGTCAAAACCAGACTTTTCCAGAATGGGTTTGGCATTTCCTCTCCCCTTTAAAGCAGGTAACGCGAAGTTCGTTAATTGTTCTAACAATATTTTATTTTACTTTGTCAATACAGATTCCAAATGTTCTAGGTTTCATCTTGGGTGTTCTTCAAATGGTGCTTTATGTTATGTACAAAAATGCAGACAGTACTGCCATGAATGATAAGCAAAAGCTTCCTGAAATACCACAGAAAATTATACTTTTGGAAGAAAACAAAATTCCAGAATTAACTGAGCAAATTATTAACATTGTAAAAATCAGTGCACTGTTAAATTCAGAAACAAATCCGGAGGTTTCACAGCCCAGTATTGATGGAATTGAAGAAGCTCATGAGCATCAAAATTTTCCCATGGAGATTGAAGTTTAATGTAAATTTCTGTGGATTCTCTAAGCCGCGGGGCCGGCGTAAATATTTTTTTTTTTTTGTTTTTAGTTTTGTTTGTCGTTCCATATATTAGTCTAAAGGGTTGTGCTATCTGCACAGACCCTTTTTGCACAGGGCCTGTATGCGTGGGTTCACCCTCATGTGTGCGCACCTGTACAAGCCGTGTGCAGGGACTTTTCCCCTAGTCTAAATAATGTATGCTGTCTTCTTTGTGGAGGCTTTGTGTGTTATTGGGTTATTAATTAAGTCGTGTTCAGTCTATTTTTGTTGTCAATCTTTATGATAATTGAAAGGGAACTATTTATCTGTAATTCATAGTATTAATTTCGTTATTATTATTGATTTGAAACTCACTTTGTGTTTTATTGATCAATTGAAAGTTATATTTACTTTAAAAACTTGTATCAGAGCCTCTAGTGGCTCGATTTCTTGTTGATTTTCAATCTTTATGAGTTGAAAATCGAAATTGTTGTGTTTGTACGTGTGTACTCTGTGCAATTGAGGCGCAATGCTAATTTTGCAATAAGGGCTTGAATCCTTAATTAAATTCACATATCTTATTGTTATGGACCATAGCTATGTCCGCTCTGGTAAATTAACTAAATCTTTAAATTACTGCAATAGTAGGTCATCGTGTATGGTGACCAATAAAATGGTGGCCTTGTCCGATGCTAGTATTTTGTGGGACTATTTACCTAAATTGTGATATTATTGTGTTTGTGGCTATATATTTATCATTGTTTAATTTTCATACTATTGCTGAGTTTTTTGTAATTAGAATTATTACATTTGATCTTATTCGTTCAAAATTTCCTTGAGACTAAGGTTTGAATCTCACAACAATATTGGGAATTTAGACCGATGTATAACTGTGATCTATAAGACATTCTCTGTGTGGTTGTATCTTTGAAGGTTGCTTATGTCCTACATATCTCATCTGTTAAAATGTCTACACATTGTTTGAACTTGGGTGTTTTTAACGGTAAAGTTGATTTTTCTATTTGGTAATAAAAAGATAAAAGGGATTTTAGTACAACAAAAACTTTTAAATGCCAGTAATAATTCTTTTACTGCAACTATGTCTAAGGATCAGAAAAATGAGTTTGAACAAAATTAAGAAAAAGACTAAACTTACTATTTTCAATTGAACAAAAGTTATCGAATTTGTCCAATGTAGAAACAGAAACCAAATTTCGTCCTAAAGTATGGTACTTCAAATGTTTATTTCAAATCCAAATAATAACTAGTCTTTAATAATATTCTAAAAGTCCATATAGCCCAAACTTTGACTAATTTGCCAACGTCCCACATAAATGAATCTTTCAGCATCAATTGGCTTTTGACAATTTATACAACCCCGCATAGACACACTTATATAAGTAGTTATACCAAAATTTATCCACCAAATGTGTATTGGTATTCAAACTACATTAACTACAGAAACAAACCAAAGTGAGAAGTGTACTTTCTTTACTCACTAAGCGTGGTATTTAGTACAACCTCTCTTTATATGTCCCAATTTATCAAAAAAGCAGCAACTAGATGATTTAACCTTTTCAAGTATTTGCTGTTTCTTTTGAACCGGACTGGATACAGATTTTTTTATTCTTTAACTTATCCTTAGAAGTATTTGCCAAGTGAGTACTTCGAATTCTCTCTTGTTTTAGACTTTCTTCTTTTCGCACATAATACGAAATGAGCTCATCAAGAGTCTAACTCTCCTTTTAACAATTGGAATTGACCTTAAATTAACCGAATTGCATAGGAAAAGAAATCAAAAACATATGCACAAACAAGTCATCAGACAGCTCATACTTTAATGCAGTTGGTTTTGAAGCAAAATGAGACACACCCATAATGTACTCCCGTATATTTTCTTTTGCCTTATACTTTAGTGAAACCAGCTTTGCTAGAATCATACTAGTTTTGGCCTTATCGTTTTTCACAAAGCGTTTTTGAAATATTTCTTTAAGAAATTTTATTGGCAGTTACCTTATTGGACACAGCGCCCCTAAATGTTACTAGAATTTTATGCATCATGATCATAAAACTTCTGCAAGAACAATCCCACTTATTCGAGTCACGTTTTATTAGCGGAACTCTTATTCGTAAAAGTAGCGGATTGTTTAGTTCTTAAAGCAAAGTCTAGATCCATGTGGCCAAAACTGACACACCCCGCCCCGTGTAACACTACTAGATCCGGACGTGGCATGCGCCGATGATAAATACCAACTAAAAGTCGAACCCACCATCAAGGCTACAATAAGTACATTATATCACTTTTTATACATCATTTTTCTAATAAAATTTCGGCATTATCTCCTCTGTAAATAGGACTAACCAACCTGTGATCAATTTCAAACAAATTTCAAAGCATAACATAACACAATAAAGATAAGCCGAAATCTCAACTTTTACCAAGAAATATAATAAAATGTACATAGGAATATAAAATACATAGTGAGCCCCATAACTATCTACGAGTGATACAAAATCACATCTAGATATGAACATGCATCACAAAACACTGACTACATGTTCTATGAAGTGAGTTATACTAACAAACTCTATCATGTGGCTCTGATTCCAAAATCAAGGCTCAACTCCAAAAGATGCCCAGATTCTCAACTGCTACCTAATAAGGAAAAACGTGAAAAAATATATGAGTTGATAGCTCAATGAATGGAGAAGCTCAAAATAAATATATTTTTTCATTTATACATTTTTATTGAAAATCAAATTCACATCATTTGATAATTCACAAGCTATCATCATGTAATTATAGTCAAAAAGTGAAATATTCACATAAGGTCATAAAATATCATCTTAAAATCATGATATAAACATCAGCTGATAACCATATTATACTCTCATCACATCAAACATGCTAAAAAATCCACAAAAAAATACCCTCTGACTCAAATATGTAATCCGCCCTCGGACTTAGAACTTTCGCCACGAGCCTTTGACCTCCTCCGTGAACGAAAGTCGGTCTCAAAGACCTCTCATAATCAATTATAGAATACAGCCAAAGTCCTTCTGTGAACTATATATATACAATCAAAATCAATGTCAGTTCAAGACCCTCCGTGTAGGATAGAACACGACCAAAACCCCTTTGTGAACTAGAAGAAGTATATAATCATGGGTACCTTTCTGGCTGATCTCAATATTACATGTCTCACATATCGAACAAATCCCAATATCACATGTCTTACATACCAAGTCATAAATGTGCTATGAATAATCTTTGAGATTCCACATAAATCATAATAAAAGACATTTCTATAATAATCATATAATCTAACACATAATTTCACATACTTTGATAATCTACTTAAATTATAAATATTTTAAAAATATTAATATTTTTCCACTCACAAAACTATATACGCCAAAATCAACTCGGTTGGTAAGCTTTCCCGATATCCGTATCGTCGCCTGAAATATGATATAATTTTTAAATCAATAATTAACTATTTTAAGAAATTTCATTAGTTAAATAGGCGATACTCAAACTTAATTATTTCACATTTAGACGATTTCTAAAATCTCTTTAATTATTAAAATTAATTTTTCTTTCATTTTATTCAATTTCCTAGTTAATTTTACTTAACCCTTTCAATAAAATTGAATTTAATCTAACAATCTAATAACTATAAAATTAAACATAACCTTTCAATAAGTAACTTTTTACTTACCTTTCAAAATTGAGGAATTCAAGCCTAATAGTTTAGAGCACTTAATTCCTAAAACGTTGGCGAATTTTTTCTATTTTTTTCCTTTCTTCTCTTCCTCTTTTCTTCTTCTTCTTCTTCCTTTTTTTTTTTTCCTTTCTCTTTTCTCTCTTCTTCTTTCTCTCTGGAGGGCGGCAGTGGGAAGAAAAAGAAGGTGGATGGCGGCAATGGGGTGGGGGTGAGGTGAGGGAAGAGATGAAGTTATTTTTTGGGATTATTTGCACTTTTAAAAGTTTGGGCCTATAGTTGCAATTTATTTTTTCATTTTCTTTTCTTTTCTTTTTTGTTTTATTTAAATAGGAGGGTATATTGGTCATTTTATGTCAAAAAATGGTGAAAAAGATGTACAGCGCAAATAAAGATGGAAATAGGGGCAAAAATGCCAAAAAATGAAAGGTATGGACGTTTTCCACAATAACCTCGAAAGGTAGAGACGTTTGGTACCAATTACCCATATTAATATTTAGTTTTTGGATAGAAATATTAACTTGTAAGTAGTAATCTTGGTGTAGTAATCAAATATTGACAATAAATCCAGTCAAACATCAAGTCTATCTTTGGACCAACTCAATGTTCATATAACAAAAACTTTACAATTGTCGAATATTTATTACCATAATTGTGCAAATAATTCTGTCAAATATTGACCTTCCTTTGAGCCGGCAAATATCCACTTGAATTACGTATACAAAATCTTCATATATTCCAAATAAATTAATTTAGGCGAGAATTATTACTTTGGTAATATGTTGCTTTAACTAATCTATTTTAGAAAATTAGTAATCCAAAATAACCTTTAAATACCAAGATTTGAAATTGATTATCTCTTTTTAGTTTTTTATTATTACTATTTTTATTAATTTTTTGGTTTTGAACTTAAAACCAGAAAAAAATTAAAAATTAAAAATATTAAAGACAGCAATTGGGCGCTGCACCGCCAAACAGAGAATCGGGCGCAACAGCGCCTAGCCACTCTGTCCCGAATCGCGATGCTATTTGTGTGCTACAATGTTGTGGTGCTACTATAATGCCGAAAAAAATTGCCTTATACCCATAATTTAGATATCTAAGATTTGAAATTTACATCCAAAAATTTTTTATTTCTATATAAAACCTAATTTTGAATTCCAGCCCTAAAATTCTTCCTTAAATAATTTTGAATTTCAAAATTTATGGCTAAAAATTCATATTGTAAATTAAAATATTTCAGAACTCAATATATGAATTTTAACCACAAAATTCTTCATTTAATCCTAATGGTTTAACATGGAGTCGGCTCTGATACCACTTGTTGATATTTTAAATCTTAATAATATGAAAATCTAATGACTTTATTGCCAAAATTCTCTATGTCAAATCACCAAGAAAATTAAATAATGCGAAACTTGCCTTAATTCTTTGAAAATGACTCTTTATTATTGGATATTGATTCTAGATCTTGACTCTTGAAAATCAACTTTGAATCCTTTCTTAATTGATTTCTTGCTTTCAATCTCAATTGCCTTGTTTGACTTTTTAATTCTT